TTGGAAGAATCCAAATTTCACTCAAATTACACATTAAGCATAACATAACATTTTATTAGCATTCCCATATGCAGAAATGGTATTGCTTTTAAAATATGACAATTTTAATTTTAATAACATTTAAAATAATCAAATAAAAATTTAAAATAATCAAATAAACAGGTAGTATTAATTAAAAGTTATAAATAGAAATCTCTATTTCCCATGCTTTTGTTTTATTGAATAAAATCTTTGAGTTGAAATACTCCATAAGTAGCCAAGTTTTTCTTACAAACATAGCGGTCACATTAAGTGAATAATACTTGAATAGTAAGTTGTTTGCTAAATCAAGAAGTCGGCTAACATACAGTGTATAACTAACCTCAACAATAGCAGTGATGTCATGATTACGTCATTTATTACTGAAAAGGAACTGGAAGCATCCGCCATCTTGGATCCGCCAATTTGAATGATTAAATGTATTCCATTTTACTTAAAACCCGTATAAATCAAGGAATTTTTAATGACAAACTTGATCTTAGTATAAAATGATGTTTAGAAAACAAGCAAACAAACCAACAAAAAAAGATCAGCATAACATGCAATTCCGAGAGAAATGAACACTGTTGAAAATTCACCTCAGCATTTGCCATTAGGTAATATTACCTGATGTTTTTTTCTCAAACTAGTCACTTAAAATCCCGGATTTCATCAACAGTGACAATAACGTTGATAAATTAATGCTTATTTAAGTGTAATATAATAATTCCGTAGTTAAAAATAGAATGAAAACCTATTTTAAAGGGAAAAAAAGGAAATTTTGAAAAAAACATGGCTGCCAAAACGCAATTGCCATGGTAACATCAATATTGACGCATGCGTCGCGACGACTTCAAGATGTTCCCAGACAATTTTTAGGAAAAGTCGAAAAGTCGGTAATAATGGTGGTCATAGCTTGAACGGTTTTGAAGTAACGCAACTTTTATGCGAGGGGGGCTCGAAAAGCCCATCCGGTCTGAAAAGGGTTAAACTTTCGATAGCCTGGATGGAAATGGATTGCAGCTTTGAAAAAAAATGACTAACTATTTGAAGGTAGTATTCATCCCTTATCGAAAAATGAGTCCCATAATCGATAAAAAAAAGAAAAAAAATGCTCATTGCTTGCCTTTCGATAGAATCACTAAATATCATCCTTTTAGAGTTCCAAGTACGACAAAAGATGGCTGAGAACACATATTTAGAATTCGGTTAAGCGTTGCCACTCGCTGTACTCAAGCCTCTTTTTTCTCACCCCTGAAACGTAAGTTGCTGAGGAGTAGGGGGATGAATGAATGAGTTCGAGTACCTCTAGATTCACCATGGTTCTCTTTCCGTGCCTTCTTCGCCTTCTGGGTCTTGCAGATGGGGGCCCTGTCCATGCTTCTGTGCAAGAAAAGCTTTGAAGGTCGATAACAAAACATATCACTGCTACTGCTACTCCCAGGCTAAGAAACATGATCACACTTCGTTCAAATGCCTATGGTAAACTAAGGTAGCACTGGCCTACGACAGCTTACTGTTCCACTTTATAGCCTTTTAAAATCCCACCTGCACTAGCTTAAATTGAACTTCAAAATACAATTAAGACTTCTGTGCGCTTGATTAAATATTTGTCGAGGTAAAAATGCAGAACTACTTATTTTTCATTCTCCTTAAAAACTGTTTTCAACTATTTTTTCACTGTTTTGCGTAGGCCAAATTTAAAAATAAACACCAAATATTTGTTTAACGGTAGAATGCCCATTCAATTCTAGTTAAAGGGTACAATTTCTCATATGCGAAGAAGGTTGTCATGTCAATTTGTTAGTCCATCTAATGCATCATTTTATGGAAGCCTTTCCTACTGATAGAATCGCGTTATAACAAACACGTTATTCATAAGACTCTTAAATGTGATCTGTCGTTTGGCAGACGACATATTTCACAAAAACTACCTAATGTCTGGTGGCGCAGTCATAGATTACCTCGGAAAGTGCGAAAAATAGATTCAGAAAAATTACGTATCGATCACTGAGTTATGGTCAGTCCCTAAGATTCCAAAAAGCGACCTGTCGCTCTACAGACTGAGCTAACTCTGATGCAGTATAATCCATGGGGCAATAATTGAAACTAAATAGCTATCAAGAATAAAAACAGTAAAGAAGTATGTTCATGTGGTTTTTTACCTTGTTCACTGATGGTTTTAAGAGTCACAAAAAAAGGTAAATAGAATTAAACCACTTTTATTATGCGCTTTGTCTTTTAAGACAAATACTGATAATTACCTTAACAATGTCCGTCGAGAAAAAATTGAAATGAAAAGGATACTGCCAACAAAAGTATCCGGCCAACAATGGTCCAAGTATTTCGTTGCTTGACATCTTGAACGTCTGGTTACCATTCACAGGTATGGTACCGGTATTCTTGTACGTGACGTAACTGATTTAGTTACTAACAGCATTTCTTGCATCAACAGCTCCAATTCATGATAACTTTGCCTTCTCGGAATTATAGTTATTATCTTTTTTTTTTTTCATTCTGTCCTTCATGCTTTTCGTAGTTGTCAAAAAAGCAGGTGTGAGTGCGATATAAAAAGGAAATGAGCTGTCGGAAAAGAAGTGTCAGCAAATTAATGTACGGTATTTCTTTGGCCTTTTTATTAAATGACGTCAGATTACAAGGTTGACAAAATTACACTTAAGCCAAGAAACAAAAGGTCGAAAGTTGAATTCCAAAAAGAACGAGAATAAATGCCTTCCTTGGAATTTGCAGAACCAGAGACAACACTTTCGGTCTCAGCCTTATTCCCCCCAAATATGATGGATTACGAGAGCAAATAGCCTACCATCTTACTGCGTTTCATCCTCCTAACGATGCGCTCTGCAGGGCACGTACTACTAAACTTGCGCAACACCAGCCGCAAAGCCTGACTTATTGTAACGAGGCAACCGAGCTAAGAAGCGAGGTTACCTCGGCGACAGATTCAAAATCCCGCCCAAGGTAGGCAAAAACTCTCAAATTCTGCGTAACCCTCTAAAATTTGCATTTTTGACCATATTTTGGGCAGTGACGTTATGATCTTGTATTTACAACTCCGTGGTTCGAAATTGGGTGATCGCGTGTGTAGCTGTTTTTTTTTTCTGTTCAAGAGGCCCTAACAGGTGAGCAAGTTTTAATACGATTTCTTGTTTGAAAGGGCTATTAGTGCTCTGGTTTGCTTTATAAACTGCGTTTAAAGCAGCAGCTGATCAAAGAATAGGGTTTTACGCTCCAATTTTTGTCAGAACCAGCTTGTTCTTCGCAGCTCGATTTACTTTGAGGTAGTGTGTTCGCTTATCTATTCAGAATCAGGGTTTTCAGTGTTATCGTTTCCTTTGTAAACTGAATTTCATGCGGTAGCTAATCAAGGAATAGGGTTGTATTTTCAAAACGTTTATCAGAACCAGCCTGTTCTTCGCAGTTCGATTTTGATCGAAACGGCCCTCACCTCCCATGAAGAATGCAACGAATTTGCGGACCTTCTGTTTTAAAGACCATCATTATAAATCATTTTGCCTTTAGAGGGACTCTTTGTCCCGTGCTACTTGATCATTAGGTCTTTGTATTTTATTCAAGTTCATATTTTTATACCTCTGATACATTATGCCCCATTCTTGTGCTTTTCACACATTTTGCTTACACCAAGTTTTTCATATGTATATTACCAAGCGGAATATTTTCCTGATAATGCCGTTGATCGGCGAAAGCTCGGAATTTAATTTTAATTTTTAATTGTAGCAGTCAAAGGCCTCACTTGAACTATATTTTACTTTCTAACGTTTATAGTTTTGAATTTACATAAAATATAGGTGCTGACTTGTTCTAATTTACCAACCAAGGTTCAAGCTACGTTGTTATTTTTGAATAGAAGTGAAAGCTAGAGTGTACCAAGGTTTTTTTTTCTAAAGTTGAGTGCCATCCTTTTCTATAGCGAACTCTAAAATTGCGGTACAAATCGCGAAGATCTGGATAGGCACATTCTACAAAAGATAAACGAATTCGCCTCATTGGCACTTGCCCGGAGGTTTCCCCCTAGTTATTGCATTATTCTTGTTTTGGAGTTTACACGTCAGCTTGTTAAGACTGTTAAACTTTGGTTCGCGGCTTTCCTCCACAACGATCATTCTCTCAAACTTGCCTTCTACGAATCATTAGAGTTAAAAATATAATTACTGGTTGACTCGAAATTTCCATCTGTTGCCTTCAATGGCTGAGTTCGAGACTGATCTACGATACCATTTGTTTCAAGAACCTCTCAGCTCACACTCAATTAGTGGGCATTCCGCGGCGTAACCAGTATCACGCGTGGAACCTCTGACACTGACTCCCTCAAGTTTTTGTTGTTGTTGTTGTTGTTTTCCTTTTGCTGTTTTGTTTAGTTTTTCCTTCATGTATCGCTATTTCACACTTCATTCCTTCATCTATGGCTTTTTTTAACGTAAAGTACTGCTGTACTCATACCCTGATTATTATGCGCGGGATTATGCAAATTTTCGAGAAGCTTATCGTACCACGTGCAGTTGGCGCAAAGAAAAAAAGAGGGGCTTTAAGCAGTACTACTATACTACTACTACTACTACGACAACGACTACGACTACGACTACGACTACGACTACGACTACTACTACTACTACTACTACTACTACTACTACTAATACTACTACTACTACGACTACGACTACGACTACGACTACGACTACGACTACGACTACGACTACGACTACGACTACGACTACGACTACGACTACGACTACGACTACGACTACGACTACGACTACGACGACTACTACTACTACTACTACTACTACTACTAGTAATCATATTATATTATATTTATTATATTATATTATATTATTACACAACGAGTACTAAGTCTATTATGCCAATAAAGAGAGAAATAGACACCCAGGCGCAAGGAAATCAGAAGATGCACAGTAATTTTAGTGCTTTAATTTATTTGCCGTGTTTGTTTGATACATGGTTCAGTTTTCAGTAGCATATGCATCCACTTTGAGCTTGCTATCAAAGAGTCATCACTTTCTTCCTAAACTGGGATCGTTTTCTTGATGATGGCAGAGAAGGGGGAAGCGGTAGAGGTGTCGACGGAGGGATGGTTGGTGCATTGCAGAGAATATTGCGATAAGTGTTGCATTCACGCTGCGAAAAAAAAAAACAATGAAAGGTGAAAAATAGCTTCAATCATTTAGTTCTAAAGCATAGTACGTCCCGCCAGTTATGCCCAAGCTTAGCCTTCGTGCCAGGCGCTAAAAAAAGGAGGGAAGGGGCAGGGGCACACGAGAGGGAAGGGATCCCCACCCACCTCCCTTTTTATCTTCGTTTTCATCATTTTCGACGCCACAAAGGTTATTGCTGCGGAGCGACCGAAGGGAGCGAGCAGCAACATAATCAGGATTTAAAGGAAATATATAAGGGGCGACGAATTCTCGAATTCATCACTTTTTACCACAATGCATTGCATTTAACCACACTTTTTACCACAATGCATTGCATTTAACCACAGTGCATTGCGCCAAGAACAACTCAAATAAAAACACGGGGAAGTTCGGTGGGTGAGAGTGCATCGTTCGCTGCTTAGACTTAGAGTTTTCTTTGTGGCAAACTTTCTACATTACGGTTAGAGGTCTTACCGCATTTTAAGACACGCAGGAGTCTTTCAGATGAGTACGATGGTTAACTTGGGGATTGGATTTCAATTCAAGAGCCTTTGACTCGTCCAGGTGTTAAACCTGACGAGAAGATGAGCATTTGCTCTTCGACTCTGCAACACGTTCCATCTTGCTACAAGGTGATGTGAAAGTGAGAAAATGTCATGCAATGCTATTCTTAGGAATCTGTATGAGCCGAAAATGGATGTGATTTTGACACTCGCTTCAAAATAACAGCGGAAATCGAGATAACAAAACATATGTTTTGTGTTCTACTTTGCAGACGAGGACGTGTATCGGCGTTTTGAAAAGCATAATTATGTTCTTTCATTCATTCATTGCCATGGAAGATGCGTTTACATTGTTTTTTCACTGTTACTAGCTTGGTTAATGCGGCCGGCGATCATCTTGCCGGCGGAAGTTTCATGGAAAAGGAATAAAATGAAAGACTTTTACATCAAATTACGTAATCAGCCACTGCGGTGTAGTGGTTAAGTGTAGTCGCGTCGAGTCGGAGGTGCTGGGTTCGAATCCTACCGAATTATTTTTTCCTACTTTCTTTTTTTTCCGTTTCTTTGTGTTGTTGTTTTCTGTAAATATATGGCTAAATAACTGTTACTTAATAAAGTGCAACAAACAGCAAGAAAAGTATTGTGTTTCGAGAGAAAATATCGAGCACCGTATATTAAATATATGGATAAACAATGTGAATTTCTATTATTTCCTACAATTTACTGAGGGAAAACCAGAGTTGATAACCACTTGATCATTTTTTAAACAACGTTCCCACGAGTTCTTTCTATAGACTGATAGTAATTATTCTAGTACTTTCCAACATGTAAATAGGACATTCAAAGTCATTTTCGATTCTTTTAAGTCCCACTGCCTAGCTAATGCCAGTATCAACAGAATGTGCCGCAGCATTACTATCTTTTAGATACCCTAGTATAATATAAATTTCTACTTCAGAGTGAATATATTCATAATTTAGTCTGACTAAATATCAGTAGTTTCAAATGAAGGTCGCAATCAGTACATGATGATATCAGTTTATATAAATGAAGGGTTTTAAAATTTATTTCTACTACTCAAATTATTGCCTGTTATATATTGGTTTGGCTTAGGACATAAATGGGCTGGCCTTTGAATCCAGTCTTGAAATGGAAACAGACTGAGTGCCCCGGAAGAGGTGGGGGGGTTACTGCCATATATGGGCTATATAGGTATGTGCCGCTGTGAAGGGTATGGTTTACAAGTAGTTCACCCTAAGATAGGGTATATAGATCAGAGCGTTTGGGTCTAGAATTGGGTATCATTTTTCAGGAAACTGATCAGTTGGCTGAAGATTTTATCTAGACTAAGGGCTGTGGTATAAGGTTTTGTTTTGACTAGACTGTGCTAGTGACCTCAGTAGTTTCTGGAAAACCGTTACTCTAGGATAGGAGGAATTTCGCGTGTTTACTCTAAAATAGGGTAGCAAAATTCAGCTGAACTAGCTCTGGTACAGGTCAAGGGTTCCAGGGTCCCAGCGGCACATCCCCACCCAGAAATTGCTAAACCTTCCCCCCCCTGGGACTGAGTGTTCCAACATTTTGATTTTAGGCAACTCAAGCTACAGTGCAACTCCGATTTAAGGAACCTCTGTATAACGAAGTCCTCGGTATAACGAACGATTTTCTTCAGCCCGGCCAAAATTACAATAAAATGTATGGAACAGAACATCAATTTAACGAAATCCTCTTTATGACAAACCTAATCCAGAGGTGCAAACGTAAATTTTGCCTCGATATAACGAATAAATGAAAGCATGTGATAAAAGATGAGTGCCAAACAGACCAACAAGGATAAAGGTTATTTTGATAGTAGTTTTAAGTAGTTTTGTTTGCCCGTTCTTGAGTTTCTAGTGCTGTAGCTCTGTATAGCTCCGTTTCGGTACTGACATGTTGTTACAGAGCAATTTTTCAGATTCAGAAACGCTGGGTTTTGTAAATTAATAATTAACTATACCTCGCATATAACGAACATTTTGGTAGTTTTCCCAACAATTCGTTAAATGGAGGTGTTCGATGTGAAGAACCCTCGATTTAACGAACAAATTTCGCCAGTCGACGTCCTTTGCCACTTCGTTAAATCAATGTTCCACTCCAGCTGGAGCTGGGTCACCAAACTGCGGATATAAGGTCAATGACTCTGTCGCCCCATGTAAGGGAATCCGAGAAATTTTTGCTTGTGGATGCCGGAATCCTGGGCTTTAACATCCCGAGTACAGCTGAAGGAGTCCGGATCCCAATAGCGACAGGAAGCCGGACAAAGAATCGGGATTACAGTACCTAGAATCCGGAATCCACGGCGTAGAATCCAGAATCCAGACTGTCTTGGATTCCCTTACACGGGGCGAACTCTGGGAAGCTGGAAAAACTATAACTCCTGTCTTGAAGTCTTCTCATTCTTATAGTCTAACTCAATATAAAGTTTTGAAGACAGAGAAACTCCTGTAGAGCAGGAACTGTTATTTCACAGTAAGCTCACAGTACAAACAACGTCAATAATATGTTAGTTTGCAGTCCCAGATAATCATTAACTAAAGCAAGGGGCGTGAATCATTTCTCATCTTCTTGTAAGAGACCAACCATTTAATTTTTGATAGGAAATAATGCGGTGAGCAGTTTCTTCCATGTGAGCCAACGCACCCACCCACCCCTTTCCCGCATCCAAAACTAAATGGTCTACCCCTTCTATTAGAAACTTCAAGCACGGAGGCATCAAGAGGATCTTATATACATCAGGATTACAATCAACGTTTTCAACATCAGTGCAACTAAAATCAATACTATTTATTGAAATGTAAATGTAAAAGGTCAGCAGTAAAACAAACAAGCTAAGAAAAATAAAGAAAGAAGAAGAAGAATAAAACATGTAAATAAATGAACTCAATGGAAGTTGCATCATAACATAGATGCTATAGACTGCCGGTCTGAAAGATGAATGTTTTCGCTCTATTGGATTTTTACGGCTCTCCATGTTTTCCTGGGGAAAATTAAAGGGAAAGAATCTACAAAATACAAATCCGTTCATGCAAAGACTGATTTTTGAATTAAAATTGTTCCCTTACTAATTGAAAAATAGGTTAATCTCTTTTTTAGCCCAAACTAACCTGGGAAGGATGAGACGGTCGCGGCCACCAAATTCCAAATCTCCGTACGCGTTCTCTACTGGTAGCATCATTAACGTTTGAACTTTCACTTGCTCGCCTGCAATACGCCAGCCGACCTATCAACGACAAATAGGCCGAAATATGGGCCACCAGTAACAAAACAAAGAAAATCGTTGTGATAGCACGAGAAAGACTTGGATTCATCGTTTTGCGCATACCGTGCTGATTTGCGCCTACCCGCACTTTTTGCATTTGCATTCAAGTGGATGGGCAGAACTAATATAATATTTGTTCGCCTCCGGGACAGTACGCTAATTATTGAAATTAGTGCCTTTTAGATAAAACAAATAGATGTGCGTTAAACTAATAATTGAAGCAATGATGCTCTGAGAAGTTTAGCCATGTTGGCTACGGATTTTCATTGTTTTTCGTTTCAGATTTCCCGAGGTTTTCATAGAGTTAATAACCCTCTTCAGCTTGTGCAAACAGAAATAACAAAATGAATTACTCATTTCCAAAGGAAATTTAACCTGCCTCAGAGCTTAACAGAAAGATTGATGCATTAAAAGCTCCCTCGACCTATTTTTTCGATACGTTTTGATATAGGCTTAATAAAACATCCTTCTCCTCTTGTTACCCGGGGCCTGATATCAACAAATTGCAGGGAATTTTTCTTGCCGTCATATGGTAAACTGCTACTACTGACTTACTACTAAAAAAAGGAGACATTTAGGTCAAATGGGTTTCATTTGAATGGTGTCATAACTTATATATTGACAACAATGAATTCCATTTCCTTTCTCCTTGATATTCATTATGGGAAGAGAATGTAGCCTAAGATGTATAAAAGAATTACGTGTCACATTCATGGATCGTAGTTATAACTCCTTTTCTCCTTTTGCTGACGTGTCAAACTGCCAGAAAAAAGGTTTTAGAAAAATCTTCCCCTAGATATTTCCGACCCATACTGGCCCCAAGCTGATTACCATTTGTTAGCACATTTCTTCCCCACAATATACAGCTTTCTGCTTCAGTAATAAAAAAAAAAAAAGGCAACGATGAGAAGAAACAGGGAACGAACAAACTGAGAGGTTTTAATAGCAATATATCTTATGTAAACTAGTAGGAAGAAAGATGAGTGATACTCAAACACAGTTTTTTTGTCTTAAATAACTCTTTGGTATTTTTACTTCTTTTGATTAATGCTGTGCATTATCAAAAATGTCATTCTTTGTCGTCATCAACTGTGTTGCCACAAGAGTAAAATTGAGAATCATTATCGGATAAGAATGTCAATTTCTTTTCCTTAATTACATTAATTATGATTTCAAGCTTTTTACGTAGTTAAACTTATTATGAACTATTTTGAAGTTTTGAATCTTTTTAGCCGTTAATTCGCGAGACCAGAACCCATAAATATTCATGCCACAATCTCTGGGGAAAAAGTATCATTTCTCGCGTTATTTTTAGATCTATTAACAGCGCCTTTCGCAAACACGCCAACTCTAAAGTTCAAAATCCACCTTCACAATTGGGTCTTTCGCGGCTGTCAATCATGATTACTGTCTTGAAATCTCAACTGGATTTATTTATGAACAAACAAACTCAAAGTAAAAAGTCAGCCATTTGGCAAGAGCACTTGGTAAGAACGTCTAAAGACCAAGTCCTTAGTGTTACTTAGCAACTATGAAATATTACTGAGCAATATCAACACAATTACGATCGCCAACAACGAACCTTGAAGCACAGAAACGCACAAAACGGATTGAAATCCACCAATCACAGATCACAAACCACGACCTTTTGAATTCGTTGAAATAAGCTTCTGTTTCCTAAGAAGTCCGCTAAAATGATTGACGGCAGCGAAAAATGCAACCTCAGTTGGCTTTTGAACTTCAGAGTTCGCGTGTTTTTGAAAAGCGCAGTAACATTTTAAGACAAAATAAAATAAAGTAACTGTACATAACTACAAGAAATCATGCACCCCACAAAAGCCGTATACTGGATTTTGTTTCACAAAATTCTCAAGCAACGAAGCCCATCAACATTTAAAAAGTAAGTAATCATGATGGTTTTAATGCCACAAAATTTACCTGTGAAAAGACAATACTTTTTTCCCAATGGCCATTAAATGTCGATAGTAAGAAACTACGCAATTTTGCTAATTGCAGCATGCTATTTTTTAACCCAGGCGCTTTAAAACTATGCTTTTAGTTCCAATTTACCCTTTGCCTTATCTGCAAAGAAACTACCATTGATCAGACATAAATTTATCGATAATACAGTATAGAGAAAAGAAGACATCAACTAAATTAAATAGAGGATATTACACGATGGCGCGAAGATATGAATTTTATTTTCGAGTGGCAAAACAATATTTTACGAACGAGCGCAGCGAGTGAGTAAAATATTGTTTTTGCCACGAGAAAATAAAATTCATATCTTCAAGCCGCCGTGTAATGTTCTTTTTATTATGTAGACAAAAGACATCGCTAAAATAATAGAGGGAAATTACCAAAATTACGTCATCGATAAACTCACGTGTGAGATTATGGAAAATAAACCACTCGGGTCCCGGATGTACTTTTATGAATGTTACGAGTGGTATATTTTCCAGTAAAACACTCGTGTCTATATAATAAAGAAATTTATTTATTAGATCGGGTGGAATAATTAGAAAGAGCAAGATCAAAACTTTTCCTTTTACAAAAATTCATCTTGTTACATGCACAGCCATTTGGCGGTGAGATATACATGTAAGCAACGTCATGATTCCAGAAAAATCGTTCTAAAATTGGCTTAGAGCGCACCTTTTACGATCCAGGTTAATTCTAGAAGGACATGTATAGAATCATAAGTGAGAGTATAACCGCACGCTGCTTAGATCTCACTGCCAATATACTCTAACCAGGTCAATTTTTAGCAAATGGAAAGTATTCATCTAGTTCTTCCTACATATCTCAGTCAATTCCATAATTTTGCAAAGTCATTTTTTTTTATTAATTCACACCTCTCTACCCTACTGATGCAGTAAAAATTGCCTTGTAAATTATCCGTGGTGTAATTCAGCTGGCCACCAATAGAAAGTTTAAACTGCACCTCTCAGCCAACACCTGAAAAAAGGATTATTTAGGGAACGTCTTAAACAGTTTATGAAAACAAGGCCAACGCTAATTTTGATCAAGTTGTCTTTATTTGGTGCCAAATGAACATTTATGTCATATATATTTTCCACTAGCTTCTGCTTCAAGGAAAACTAGCCTGGCCTGGCCTGGGACAAAATCACGTGCGTAAATCTTCGCTGTCCTGTTAAAGCATAAAAAAAAGAATAACATCATTGATATTCGTCTGTACGCTAATGCCTCTCTCGTCCAACTGTAAAGAGCAGGATAAATAAAGCATTGCTGGTAGTGTAAACACTAGAAGATAGCTTCCACATGACAAAAGTCACTCTTATTTCATGTTAGTATTAGATACCATTATTGGGCTACCGGTTTCTGGATAACTTTGTGAAGTCCTGAAAATGAAGAAATGATCGTCGCACTAAACGCAATTTATGCAATTGCGTATAAAGAAGCCTGAAAATTCAGGCCTTCAAAGGGGTTTGTGAGGTCTACCAAACACAACTCAACATGCGCTAACTTCCTCAATTTTCGTGCTTAGATCAAGTTGACGATGGTATATTGATAAAAAATTGTGTTTTGTAGGTCAAAACCTGCTTCTTGAGATAGAGGCCACTAGCTTATCCCACAAAACATTCGTGCAAATGCATACCCTTATAGACGATCGCATAGAAGGGAAGGTCTCTGCAGCCTTACTTCTTGCTTTTTTTTTCTGCTTGTGTTATAGCATTTTTGATAGACTAAAGCTGTGACGGGCTCCTTGACTTATTTATACAAACATGTTGAAGCCTATTGACGCTGTGCAGGCTTCTGGGCCTGGTTGCTCGAAGCATGGTTAGCGTTAACCAGCGTTTAATACCTTGAAAACGTATTGGTTTTGATACCAACTGCTTAACCAATGGTTAAAGCTAACCATGCTTTGAGCAACTCAGAACTGGTGTTGTTTAGAATGACCTAAAGCAGGCTGAAAATTCAGATTCAAATTAACATAGTATACTTTGGCATTATTTGGTGTGCTTTTCTGCATTTTCATCTCAAAATGGATTGGGTCCAATAGCATGTGTGATCTCAGGAACCTATTACCACCAAACATTGCCAGTAAACTGCGCACAGCGGCTAAATTCCTTAGAAAATGAGTTTTTGTATGTTTATAAAATCCATTTTACCATAAAAACTACGAACGAAGATTTTCAGTTACTGTTTAGATTAGATTGTGTAGACCTTTTTTTTCAATTTCAGGTCGTTGACTAAATCTAAAACAAAGAATGTTCGAAAAAGACACCTGCCACGTTCACAACGCCAAAAAATTAAACTTCTGATATTTCAAAAAGAAATCCATTATCGTATACCTGCTTATTTCGAAACCTTCGTGTGTATTCTTTTAAATCATACCCGCTGCTTTCTATAAACGGCATGCTCCTTTTAAACTCACTCAGGTGGCTTATGTCGTCATCTTTCGAAGGAACGGAACCAATATAAGTCTTTGCTCTTTCCCACAGAGTCAGGAATAGAATCAAAGTAAATAACCTTCCAGGCATCTTAGTAACCTTTGCTTCCTGAAATTTTTCAAACTTTCGTCGTTTGTTATGGTCAAATAAATTGAACTTATGGGTTACATACTCCATTACTGATGATTATTAATAAACGTAGAATAAACATTCAAACGGACCGAGAGGGCGAAATGTTTACATTTCAGAACTCAATTTTGTTATTAAGTTAATGATAAAACAGGAAAAGGTTATCTGGATTATGTGCTAGCTGTCAATTATTTTGCAAAGCCAAGAGAGCCTTCACCACCTTTGATAGTAAAGTGCTCCAGCAAAAAGTCAAAACGCTCTTTATAATTTCTTTCCTTAGTCGCTTTTTAGTTCGTTTCTGTTTTCCTTCGTATACCACTTACTCATTAATCCGCTAGCGGAGCTATCAACATTGATGGCAGATAACACTCACCTCTATCTACATAAGTGTTGATTTTAATGAAAATGACAGTGACTGTTACTTATTTATGAGTGTGTTTATTTTTTGCGATAGTGCTTCTTTAGTAAGGGGACTTTTATTAGCAAAATCTGCAGTGACTTTAAA